GCCCGTTGTGTATGCGCTGGACTGGCCTAACGTGACCTCGTACTGTCTGACGTCTGGGTGACGTGCCCGGCCACCCTAACAGTTTGAGGTTGGGCGTCAAACACTTGTCTGAGTTAGTGACCTCCGATCAAGTAGTCACACTCAAGTGGCATTACCTTTCTGTGACTAGACCGTAGGCTGATGACGTGGCATTTGTTGAAATTGAACTGCAGTAGCCACTTTTTACACAAATTTTGCAAGCGATCCAAGTTATTTTGTAAGATCTATCCATCTTCCGAGTTTTCAATTGACTTCCAAGTCTTTAAATCATCTGTGAACATGACTTTTTCACCGTTGAGGCAATCGAGGCAGCCGTTCACATATACCAGAAACAGAAAGGAACCCAAAACGCTTCCCTGTGGGACCCCACTGGAAACGGTTTTCCCTTCTGTTTTGGTGTCTCCAATACAAACAGGCTGACGCCTATCTGTTCGAATGTTGACGAAGCATTTGTGTAGATTTCCAGTCGCACTCATTTGATGCAGCTTTGATATAAGCCGTCTGTGTGGAACCTTATCGAATGCCTTGCTGAAGCTAATGTAGATCGCATCGACCGACGAACCCATTTCCAAAGAATTCGTCCAGCTTTTCATGGATGTTAGCAGGTTAGTGAGACAAGATCGGCCACTTCGGAATCCATGATGCGCTGCGCTCAGCAAGTTGTTTTCCACAATGTGTCTCATTAGTTCCGTTTTGATTACTTTCTCTATTAGTTTGCAACAAATGCTTGTGAGACTAAGTGGTCTAAAGCTCTTAGGCAACGTTCTCTCTCCTCAATTATAAATAGTTCAGTTGGCCAGCTTCCAGTCAGTAGGCAGAGCCCCCTTCTCCATCAAACTTTTGAAGATCATGGAAAGTGGAGAGACCAGTTGTTCTGCGAGCCCACTCGGAAGTTTCGCTGATGAGCCATCCGGACAAAACGATTTAGTAGGCTATAGTTGTCGCAGGGCTTTTCTTACTGTGTCTATTGCGAACGAAACCGTGCTAATTGTATACGCCGCTGGGACAATCTATCGCTGTACATCCTCGTTAAAAGGTGGCTCCTGGGTATACAGACATAAAGAAGTTAGACAAGAGGTTCGCCTTATCTGAGTTATGGGTAAACTTGTTTCTCTGGTTAGCTTTCAGACAGGGAATGGGATCTCGATTGCGTTTTGCCTTTGGCTGTACTCCCAAACAAGAACGCAATGATCACTTTGACCAAAAGGGGTCTGAGTACTCAATCCAGGGGTAGAGTTTTCATCTATACTAATAACGAGATACAGACAGCTACACTGTTCGCCACTTCGGAACCGCGTGTCCAGTGTGACATGTTGCGTAAGAAATTCGTCACTTACCAAGTTAAGTAGTTTCTGTTTGAATGAGTTTTCTGATCTCGAGCTGTGCATCAATTCCCAATCAATATCTGGAGAGTTAAAATCTCCAAGTATTAAGACATTTTTGCTACGGCAGTGTTGTTT